CATTATGGCTCTTAGCCTTGAGACCTGGAATAGTGATTTTGAACCCAGCTTGCCTGAACTGGAACATGTGTTAGAATTCACAAAAAAACACAAGTTCTTGGCCAAATATTTTAAAAACAAGTTTTGCATTTTTTTTCCCAATGTCTCTGAACCAGTTCCTTGAAACATCAAAGGAAAGTAAGTTTTAGAGCCAAGTATTAAACTTTCTGAAGTTTTAGTGTGAGGTCAAGGGCAGTCTTGAGGAACATACCTCAACCACTAAGTGAGTCTGAAAGCTTTCTTCTTGGATTTACGCATTCCATATGCATGGGTCAGTTGGTAGCTGTCACATTTTGGGGCTCAAATCTCTTAGTTCAAGAACTTACCTTCTACCAAATATGTTGAAAATGCAGTAAAAGATTAATGTTTCCCTTTCTGAAGTACTGTTTTGTGAATGCTGCTTTGTACCACTTCCATGCAGATTAAGGATGTTGATTAATGGAGCAGATGATAACCTCATTGTTGAATGCTCCCTCTTTCAGTATATGTTCTACCACACAGAGCTTCACGTCTGTATTTCTCCAGCACACAACTTAAGAGTTTTTTTGGTTTTATGTTTTCAGCTTATTCCTTCATTTCTTCAGAGCTCCTGTATTTTCTGTATGACTTTCTTATTTTTATAGGCCTTGCATAACACACGACTCCTGTCATCATACGCAGCCATTGATCCTAGAGTAAAATATCTGTGTTACACAATGAAAGTCTTTACAAAGGTAAGTATATTTCAGACATTCTAGAAGCAGTAATGCCTGCAGCAAGAGATGATAACCATGAAAGATACAAATTGTGTTTCTTTTTCTAGATATGTGACATTGGAGATGCATCTCGAGGTAGCCTTTCTTCTTATGCATATACTCTTATGGTGCTTTATTTTCTTCAACAGAGAAATCCACCTGTCATCCCTGTTCTTCAAGAGGTACAGTATATCAAGAAAGAAACAAATATATGTACACAGTATTGACCAGAAGAATAACAGTGCTGAATCTGAAGGGCCTTCTAATGAGTTTGATATTATGCTTTCAGATTTACAAAGAACCAAAAAAGCCTGAAATTCTAGTTGATGGCTGGAACGTTTATTTCTTTGATAAGATAGAGGAGTTGGTGAGTAAAGAAGAAAAGTTAATTTGGAATGGTGTTACCTGTAACTTTGCAAATCAGAAAGAACTCCTTTTAAGAAACATTGTCCTCAAATATGGTGGTTTAATATAGAAATGGAAGTGGAGTAGAAATTGCTTTGAAAATCCCAATCCCATGCTGTAAAGCTTTAAGAATATTGTTGGTTGTAATTCATCTGTGGAAAAAAAAATCTTCGAAGTCTGAAAAAAAATAGATTAAAAAACTTATTTTAAGGTGTGAATGATGATTAATTGCTCTGTGTGTCACATTACTGGGTGGACATAACTCCTGCAAATACCAGCTGCATATCTAGTCATAGCTTGTTAACACTGTTGAATAGTTTTGTATTAAATAGGCACGTAAAGTGAATTAATAAATTCTTTTTTGTAACAGGCAAAACCTAATGTTAGATTTATTATTTCTTCACTTTTTTGTTAAATTTTTTAAAAATATTTTTAAATCAATATTGGATTATTAATACCAATTATGTTTCTGTCATTTTTAGTCAGTTGTTTGGCCAGACTGTGGCAAAAACACTGAATCTGTTGGGCAACTGTGGCTGGGACTTCTCCGTTTCTACACAGAAGAATTTGATTTCAAAGAGCACGTCATCTGCATTAGGAGAAAAAATCTGCTTACAACTTTCAAGAAGCAGTGGACCTCCAAATACATTGTAATTGAAGGTAAGAACACGTGAATTACATGAATCTGCAGAATTTCTTAAATGCCCCTATGAAAAATTTGGTCTTTCCACAAGGCTTATTTATTTTTCTAGTACTAGATTACAAGTTGTTATTTGCTCATGTTTTGAAATCTTTGCAAAATTCCCATTGAGTTTCAGTAGTGCTAAAAATTATTCTTAGGGGGGTTTTTTTCCCTCTACTGAAAGGAAGCTGCAGAGCAGACTTTGTACTTTTCATGATGACAGTAATGACAGAAAAATAGATTTAACTAAATCCTTCGGAAAAGAAATTAGCTGCAATGCAGTTGTTTTCTCACAAATACTAAGTTTAGCTGAGTCCATACTTACATGACCAGTTTAACCCTGTGTATGATTACACTGTTAAGTAATACCATGGTCTCTATCAAGGAAATGCAGTGATGTGTTTTCGAAATGTTGCCTACACCACTTTCTGGCCCATATGACTTTCATGGAAAGAACTTCTACTCTCACTTGCATATTCAACTTTCTCTTTTGCGGTACTTCAGCCAGTTCAGAGCTGTGATCCTTTGTCTGTGGAATTAATTTCTTTTCAAAATATGCAAACAGTTCAATTTCAGTATATTAATTCTGCATCAGGAATAGCTGCCTTGGGTTGTTCACGTGTATGTATACATTGCTGATCTTTTCCTGGACTTGAGTAATGCCTGTAATGCTTTTTGTACAGACCCCTTTGATCTGAACCACAATCTTGGAGCTGGATTGTCAAGAAAAAGTAAGTAAACTTGGGTACAAAGTGCAGATCTTGTCTTAGATCTTATTTTCCTGGCTTATTTGATGTTTGGATTATGGTTTTTTTTTTTCTTTCCTCAGTGACAAATTTTATAATGAAGGCTTTTATCAATGGCAGAAGGGTATTTGGTACCCCTATAAAAATATTTCCTAAAGAATATCCATCAAAAATGGTAAGTTGCTCCTAAGAGCAGTATGTGCATGCTCTTGTGTGTATAACGTACCGCTTGCAGCAGTATGGTTACACTCTCCTTAAGCACTTCTCTCTTAAATTTCAACAATACTCTCAGAATCTTTTATGGGAGTTATTACCAAGTACTGTTTTCATGTTGTTTGTATTTAAAACATGTTGGCATACTAATCAAGTCAGAGCTTCATTGTACAGGCTTGCATGTTTCAGTCCCTGTCAAAACCAGCTTACCATTTCTTACAACTGCAGTTTTAAAAAAGAGGTTGCAGACCTGGTGGTCAGCAGACTGCCTGTAAAGAAGAGGCCAGTGGCCAGTTGATCTCATCAGGTCTTTCAGGAGTTCAGCTACATGCACAAGGTTTATTCTTCTCTGTGACTCTTAACTGCTGTTAAACACTTGCTTATCTGTCTTGATTCCCAAGAGTATGGATTTTCATTTTAAATGCATGATTTCTTCTTCAGGAGTATTTTTTTGACCCAGAGGTACTAACAGAAGGAGAATTGGCACCAAATGATAGATGCTGCAGAATTTGTGGTAAAATTGGCCATTTCATGAAAGATTGTCCCATGAGAAGAAAGTGAGTATAGTTTTGGCATCCGTGTGGAACATTTCCTTAGGTTTGTTTAGCAGAAAGATTTAGGATAGTAATGCTAAAGCAAACCTTGTATACATGTATATGCTGTAGATTATTTCCTTTACTGTTGAAATCAAAATGTATCAATAACAGTTTTGGCAGTGGTGAATAGTGTTGAGTTTTGAAATTTTTGGTCTGTGTTGAGTCACTATGTAGCTTTTGCCAGCATCATCTATTGTGCTTTTTTAACAGAACCTTTTCATAGAAGGCTGTGCAAAACTACTTAGCTTAAGAAGTAATGCTGATGCTGCACCATGTTATATAGAAACGTAGTACTCAAAGAGAATCTAAATGCAGGGCAGAACAGCTGTGTGCCGTGAAAAGCACTCAGAAAAGCATTTTATATATTTTAATTTAATAGATTCTATTTCTAGAATCCTGCTACTCCCAGCAAGGCACATTTTTGTCATGTTCAGAGTCGTGCAATTCACGTCAAAAAGCAAGACAAGAAAGTCACAGCATTCTTTTTCTTAGGCACACACCTAGGAGAACAATGTCCTTCTTTACATTCAATAGAAAGTTTTCTGGTCTTTAGTAACCAAAATTCAGCAACTACCTTCTTGAAACAAATTAGTGCTAAACCAATATTCCTGTTCTTCGTATTATGAATTGTCTAACTTAAAACTGATCCATTGAGTTTTTTGCTAGTAAAGACAAAGCTCTTTAAAGACTTCATGTCTACAAAATAGTGAAAATCAGCAAATAAAACTTGAAGAGGACAAAATCTTGAAAGTGTTTATGCCTGTAGTTCCCCAGGTCTTCCTTTTTTTCCCTTTTTAGAAAAAGGGAAGCTCACCTGGATGCTTATCTGCCGTTCTTTTGCCCATTCATTCAGTTTTGTGAGGTATTTTCAAGTTAGCACTGCATCTGACTGACTGAAGGAGCCTAGTATCATCTTCAGACTTCGAGGTTTCACTGATGTCTTCTTCTCTAGGTCATGTATAAAGAAGTTAGATAAAACCAGTCCAGCAGTGGCAGCTGTTTCCCCACTGCTAGGTCTTTAACTCACATAGAATGTTAGAAGCTTTTCCCAGTAGAAAAGACTTAGAGATACCGTGAATATACACAGTTTCAGAAGGAAGGGAGTGAGATTCCTGACTGAATTGTACAATAAAAAAAATAATAGAACTATACACCTTTTCTTTATACTTTGTTAGTATTTTGCTCAGTGTTTCTTTTCTTCCACTCTCTTTGCAACTCCATCCCCCAGATATTCTGTTGTCTTTATATTTTTTGAGATACAATTATTAGAATTTAGGGTTGTATAGTAATATAATTGTAAAGTTAAATTATTAAATACATGCTACATCAGTGTAGCACTGTTTGGTGGGAGAGCCAAAGGGGCAGGTACATTAATTCATTCACTTTATTTAACCCACTGAAGAAATACGTGAAATACATCTATTGTCTGTAGACAGTGTTTGGTTTGGTTTTTTTTTTTTTCTTTTCTCTGTGTATATATGTAAGGCCTATGAACTCTGAGCATTTTTCTGCTCCTGCAGACTAAGACGGCGTCGTGATTACGACGATAACAAAAACCAGAGGTACACAGAAAACAAGGAGAAAAGGAGCAAAGAGGAGAAAGAAACTCAGAATAAAACAACAGAAAAGGAGAGCTCAGTCAAGGAGGGAAAGTTACACCTATGTACACCTCAGAAGAGGAAACTACAGAGGGTAGTAATGGAAACTGGAAGAGAAAAGACTCCCAGGCAATCGGCAGAGAAGTGGAAGCGCCTGGAAGACAGAGACTTAAGAGAAAAACGTTGTTTTATCTGTGGAAGAGAAGGTCATATTAAAAAGGAGTGCCCACAGTATAAAGCAGCTGCAGGTATGAAACTGATCAAGCTGAGTAGTTTAAGCAGAGCTTATGTTTTTTGGTATGTTTTAACAGGCTATTTTTTTAATATAGTCACATTAGTTGGTTTTCCCTTCACCCTCACCTACCTTTCAGAACTTTGCTGTATCCCAAGAGATTTGACATGGTTTCTATCAGCAGGTAAGATGCGTGTGATAGAAAGCGTCTGAGTGTCTAATGTTGAAATTGCTTCCATTGTCCTCACTATACAAGAGTTTGCTAACATTTCACATGGCACCTTCTCTTTCAGTACATCATAATTGGAACAACAGCTAGCTTTATAGCTTTTCACATCACCTAAACCAGAATTATTCCATAAAGACCCTGAAGTCACTAACAAAGTGTACAAATTGCTCAGATAGAATATTGTGAATGAAATAATGTTCCTGCCAACTCAGCAGTAAGAGGGATACAGAAATCTGTGTTATTTTTCATGGAGTCAGTTTGAAACTGTGGTTTAAAGAAAGAACAACCTACAAAAATGCCCTCCAAATCCAGATCCTGACCAACAGACCTGAAAAAATAATGAAATGCTTGCTCGGCAGCAAGTCAGTCATCCTTCAGATAAGACAGATCTCTCATCATCTGGGTGGTAAAGGAAAATCATTCTAAGGTAAAATTGAGACTCCTTAAGACAGGGGATGGAACTTTCAGTTAGCTTCCAAAGGAACACAGCATTATTGTTTCTCCTGAAGGTAAACCTTTAAATTCATGCTGGAAAAATTTGCTCTACAGATTACTCATGACTTGACCTCTTAAAGTAACAAGTAGGAGTCCTTTGTATAAACATAATTTCAAACCAGCTCTTCTCTACTTGCAAAAATGTTCTGTCTGGCTTAGTTCAGGAGACTTTCTTAATCAGGTGTCACTGGTGGAAAAGGGCATAGGACTGTGCTAACAAAGTACTGGAAGCAGGAGGAAAATGGTGTAAATATATTCAGAACTTTCAGGGTGTTTAGAAATACTCCTAGTCTGATAGACCACTAGAAGTGTTGGGTGGGCAGAAAAGATGTTTAAAAATTGAAACCACATCTTATTCAGCTTCTGACCCTTTGAAGGTGTATGTCAAGTCTAAATTTAACTTTTGAGTTTCTTTATCTTTGACCTTGTCTCACTGAGCATTTCTTTCTACCATTCCGTTTGCCATGATACTGAGTCTGCCCAGGTTGAAGGGGAATATGCCTGACTGTTTTGTGGGCAGTGACATTCGTGTGTTTTATAACATTCATCATATGAGAACTATGCTGAGGCTGTACAGTACGGATATCTAAAATCAGGAATTCTGGAGTAGGAGTTTTTGTCTATTATCTGTATTTAGGGAATTCCTATATTTGAATTTGAAGAGAATTGCTGTAGGTTGGTCTTTTTTTGCTTGCTTAGTGCCTGAAGTGTTTTCTCCAGTAGAATAGCCAACTATGAACAACTGGACCTAAGAGATCAGACTTTGGTTTTTGCTGTGTTACAAGTATATTGTGAGACTATGGACACTTCACTTATCACCGTATCTTCATTCATTCTTTGAAGTTCCCTGTCTCCCTCTGATTCTGGGAGAGTACAGAACTTAATTTACTGTAGGTTCCTAATGTAGATGCATAGCTATAGATGCATCTCAACTCATTGTGCCAGTTTTCCACATTATAAAACTGAGGAAAAATATGGATGTCCTACCTTCCACATACTATGAAGGTAGATTGCAAATATTTTGGTATTTTTAGATCTTACGATACCTGAAGTGGAAACTAGTTTCAAATTAGCAAATCTTTGTTATATTATGATCGTTTCAGGTGGTTCAAAACCAGAAGCCGTGTGTGGATCCCCTTCTTTACCCAGCACTGCCAAACATGCTGGTAGATTAAATCAGGTAAACACCAAGTGTCCCTTTTCTTCTGTCTTTTTCTCTTTAAATGTTCTAAAGTCCATATAAAGTAACTAAAAATAGCTTTACTTAAGCTTTCAAGGCGAACCTTTTATTTCTTTATTGTGGAATGCCATAATTCAATTTTGCTGGTTCATCAATGTGTATATGTTGTTTACAGGGAGTGTTTATACATGAAGAAAAAAAGAAACAAAAAGGGAAAGTGTTTTTGAGTCCCCAGTCAGGTTTGTATATCTTCATTTTAATTCAGAAATTCTGCATAAAAGCATGCATTTTTAACTTGCTTTCCCCATCGGTCCTTATGGGAATTCTGCCTAATCTGCTGAACACAGCAGCAGTCCAGACAGGTTGCTAGATAATTCTGAAGTGAAGCCACATATTTTTTTTACTGGAAAAGTGAGCGGTTTTTTTCAGTTGTTTTGGAAGCAAAACTGAGGCATGTCAGTTCTCTGCATTTTTTCTTTGACTCTGGTAGATTTGTTTTGCAGAAGGATATGGTGATTTTTTTATCAGTCTCTTTTCCTCTCTCCTATTTCGGCATACACGGGGTTCTGTGTTTCTTCAGGGGCGACACGTGGAGTGCTTTCCTGTGGGGCTTCCTCAGGGTAATTGTCTAGAATTCGCATGATCAGCTAATTTAGGAGAGACTGCCAAAGCACATCCTTGGTCTGAGCTGCCAAAATGCAAGGAAGAAAAAAATACACTTACAAGTAGTGGTCAAATGATAATATAAAGGCCTTTATGTACTCTCTCTGGATCAGAGTTGTTTTGTGTTAGACGCATGGTTACAAATGCAGCTTTGTTACAGTAATTACACACACTAACAGGTACAATGAAGATTTTAAAAGCAACTGCTTTCTTTAAGTTCTTTGAGTTTCTAGTGCAACCCTGCAAACCTTTTAGGATCTTGTTTTTTTCAAAATACATAAATTTCTTCTGGGGCACCTAAAGGGTACCTAAGTAGTCTTCACAAACTTTGGGAAACTAAACTGCAATTAAGTAACTCAAATTAAATTATCTTTTTTTTTTTTTTTTTTTAAGGAAGACACAGTATTTTCTGTTTTCACTGCCAGGCTTTTTCAAATCTAAGTTTGGGGATTTTAAAGTGATTTGTCATTAGGTATTTAGTTGAAAAAAATGCTGGTTTTAAATTTTGTATTTTAGTATTTCCTACTGCCCTATAGCAGGCAATGGTCTAAAGTTGAACTCTGTGTGCTTTCATTATAACTTAACAGTAATTTTCTGCTGTCCGATTGTTTCAGTAGTATTATGTTGTCTTTTTTTTTTTAACCTTTAAAGTGTGATGCTTTCTTCCTCCCAATCTTAGGCAGCCTTTCCAATAAATACATGACTCAGGGAAAAGCCTCACAGAAGAGGACCCAACAAGACTCATGAGGGATATTAAGCACTGTTAAATGGCAATACAGGCCCTTCATTCATTTAAAAAATTTTCTTTGGCTAAAGCATCTGGATTCACAGGACAGCAGCATAGACAACCTTCGACTTAAGTTTAATGAAATAATGAGTGTTTTCTTTTAGAGTGCTAGTACAAGCAACTGTGGATTTTAAAATGGACCCTGGCTCTTAAATAGATTGTTTGAGCATTTTAATAGAAAGCCATGACTTTTTATATTAATTTACTAGGTAAATCATATAGAAAAGGGCAGGTACTAAAAATGGACTGTTTCCAAGATTTTGTCATTCCACCTGACCATTTTAAAATGCACTAAAATTGTGTGCGAGCCAAATACATTATATTTTCTTCAAAACTTGATTTTTTGAAGAAGCAAATAATATTTATTAATGTTGATTGTTTACTGAATCCTTGTGTAAAAGTGTTTGAAATGTTTGTAGACTGCTACCTTATTTTTTTTTCCTGTAGAGAACTGAAAACATAGACACTAGTAAATATATGTAAAACAATCTCTGGACAAGCAGTGCCATTGAGATTTCTTGTATTTTTCTTCTGTTCTGTGATTTTTATGGTAGTTCATTTGCTGCTGTGCTTGTGTACAAGAAGAAAGACTAATAAACAGGTCAGTCCTGTTTGATGCTGCTAAGAATTTTTTTCAAGGCCTTGGGGATACAGACAAAAATGCTTTAAAGAATAGAGGTATTATATTTGGCAACTGGGGAAAACACGTGTCGGTTTTTATAAAATGTGAAGAGGATCCTCGTACCAGCCAAGAATTTAATTAGTAGTATGAACCTGAGCTTTACTTGAAGTCCTTCCAGAGCTGGTAATGTACCGTCTTATCTTGTTCAGGAAAGAGTTAGTTACATGGTAAAAATGAAACCACTGTTATTTATGATTTTGAAATAAATTTTTTAAAAACAACACAATCAGACTTAAGTTTCTGTATTTCTTCTTAGGTTGTAGTTTTCAGTATTCCTGACTTAGATGTGCAATTAATGATAACATATTAGAATTATCCGTCTTTCAAAATGTCATGTTTAGTTTTTTTCCTTTACCCATTGTATTGGGTTTGTGGGGCAATGTTTTCGTAGCAGGGGGGCTTCAGGGGTGGCTTCTGTGAGAAGCTGCTGGAAGTTTTCCCTGTGTCCACCGCTGGCCAAGGCCAAGTCAATCAGTAACAATGGTAGTGTTTCCGTGATAACATCTTTAAGAAGGAAAAAAACGAGCTGCGACACAGTAGCCAGAGAGACAAGTGAGAGGATGTGAGTGCAGGAGGAGGGGCAGAAGGTGCTCCAGGCGCCAGAGCAGACTCCCCTGCCAGCCCCTGGTGCAGGCCATGGTGGGAGGCTCTGACCCCGTGGGAAGCCTGCGCCAGATCAGGTTCCTGGCAAGACTTTGCAGACCCATGGTGGGAGGAGCCCATGCTGAAGCAGGTTTGCCGGCAGAACTTGTGACTCCACAGGGGACCCATGCTGGAGCAGTCTGCTCCTGAGGGACTGCACCCCATGGAAATTATGGACCCACACTGGAGCAGTTCATGGAGGTCTGGAGCCCGTGGGAAGGACTCATGTCGGAGAAATTTGTGGAGGACTGTCTCCCATGAGAGGGACCCCATGCTGGAGCACGGGAAGAGTCTGTCCTCCCCTGAGGAGGAAGAACCGGCAGAGACTGTGTGATGAACTGACCCCAACCCCCATTCCTGTCCCCCTGTGTTGCTGGTGGGGAGTAGGTAGAGAAAACTGGGGGTGAAGTTGAGCCCAGGAAGAAGGGAGGGGTGGGGGGAAGATGTTTTAAGATTCAGCAGTTATTCTCTCCTACTCTGATTTTGATTGGTAATAAATTAATTTCATCAAGTTGAGTCTGTTTTGACCATGATGGTAACTGGCGAATGATCTCTCCCTGTCCTTATATTGACCCACGAGCCTTTTCTATTTTTCTCCCCCCTGTCTGGTTCAAGAAGGGAGTGATAACAGCAGCTTTGGTGGGCCCCTGGCATCCAGCCAGGGTCAAACTGCCACTCCCATCTGTTTCTATTAAAGCTGAAAGCTGGAATTGCCAAAGTGGTCTTACAGAACCAGGACCAGGATCTTAACTCCTGTTTTGATTTTCATACATCTGTGGCCAGCTATGTGTAAACTTCTAGATGTGCAACTTTTGCAAAAAATTTCTTTTGTATTCTTTCCTCAATATATTTTCAAGCATATATGTATTAGCCAGGAACAAACAGAAAATAATTCCAAATTTGTCTTCTATAGCATATTTCATCATACGAAATTAAGTCAGCTTTTCCTTCAAAAATAAGTTCATTCCTGTAGTTTTTCATTCACATTCCACCCCCCCCCCAAAAAAAAAAAAGAATGGCTGATGTGCCTTCTTTATGCCTTATGTAGCCCTCTATTCAGTTCCAGTTTTGCTGATGAGAATGAAATGTATAAGCCTCTAAGCGACTATGGCATAATCTCAAAGATAAAGTTATTTATAAAACCAAAACCAGATTTATGCATACTCACCCTCTTCCATTTGTGATACTTCGTAGTTGAGCAATGAAGTTTTCAACTGAAATTTCTAAACTCACTTCTGAATGAAAACTCATTCTGCAGATCCACCGGCCTTCTCGCTTTGAAGCTGCTCCTTCCTTATGCAACTACAAATTCTATAGTTAATGAACCTTATAGCCCTAAAAGGAACCCCCCAAACTTGGGTTATATATTGCAAGCATTAATCTAGTAACTAATAAATCCTTTGTTTGCTTAAAGGGTAGTTGAAGAGCACAGTCATAACTTACAGAATGATACATGGTCAAGGAGGCATATGTATCTGCTGGATTAATTTGTTGTAAAATTTAGTAAATGGATTGAAAAATAAAGAGAAGGTAAGTTCTTTGTAACAGTTCTTGATATCCAAGATCCTGCTTGCCTTACGGGAGTATATTCTCAAGGGAAGCAACTTTCCAATAGAAAAAAAAACAAACACCAAATCTCTGAAAGGACACGCTGCATTAATAAAAAGTTTCTAGAATAAGAACAGTATCAAAATTAACAGTAATAAACTAAAATAATAGTTTACAACTAAATTCATACTAATTATAACACATAATAATGAACTAATAGCTTAAAAGACCTCTTCTGAACCACCTGTATGCTCAGTCCCTCTAGTGATAGGGAGGGATGCTGAACTGGTAGCACTGTATTTGTGCTGCTTTTTTAATTGGGGAAAACAAAAAGTGCTGTTGTCACATTTCACAAGAATTTCACATGCTTTTGCTGTCCCCGTTTCCAAAGTTGGAAATGTCTTGTGCTATGAGTAGTTAGTTATCAGTGCTGAAAAAAGGAGAAATTTCTTTTTCAGGTATGCAGCACAGTTAATTGTCTGCTTTAAACAGGCAATTTAATCTCAGTTAGCTATATAACAGCTAGGTTAACATGCATCCACCTCCCCTAATTTAATTGTTCTGGTGAGATTTGTTTCATAGCTTTATTTAAAACTGGTTTCTCATCCATTAAAATTTTTATTTAAATGTATTTAGTACACAATTATTTCTTTTATAAACATCACATTTTCATGAGAACTGCAGAAGCCACATCGAAAATTATCTTCACTAGTAACCTTTTGGGGCCTGAAATAGCTACTTAGAATGGGAGCCTGCCAGCAAAGAAAGTATTTTTTTCCTGTACTAAGAAACTCATCAATAATATTTCTTGTTACTCACTTGAACTACTTAGATTTTAATACTGACTTTTGCTTTTTATCTTCCTTTGATGAAGTCCTGAAGATGGAAAGCACCTTAGAAAAATGGCTGTTGTTCTAGCCCATGCTCAGCCTTCCATGGCAAGATTCCTTCAGCAGGCAGGTGTCTGAAGAGTAGTGACTGGAAGCACCCTAAAGAAGGTAAAGCTCCTTATGGTAGACCGCAAATGATGAAGGAGTTATCAGTTGCATTCATACACGAGCTTCCCCCCTCCAAGCATACATACTGGGGGCTGATAGTGCATTTAAGCCTCCCCACCCCTCAGAGGGAGTGGTGCTGGCGACGGTCTGTGCCCCAGCTGCTTGGGGTTGTGTGTGAAAGACGTCTTTGGTGTAGCTAGGGAAAATACAACTTTATACGCTTGCTGCCTTTATATTTGAGGTAGAAGTGCTGTGCCTCGCTGAAGAGTAGTGGCATAATTACATAGGTGAAAAAGAAAAAAGTGTGCATTTACTATCAAGCTCTTCAAAACAGCTGAGCCCAGAACTGGGTACCCAGAGTAGGTGTGGTGATGAGATGCGGGCACGTTGCTTGTGCTCGGACTCAGTAAATACAGGTTTAGAGTATTACGTAGCATCTTTAAGGATGCGGTTGGAGGAAACAGACACGGCCTACTTGCTTTCCTTCTGGCATAGCCATCGTTGGAAGTCTTCGTAGGCCAAGGCTGCCAGGGTTTCTCACGAGCGCGCAGCAGCCCCCCCGGCATACCTTCCCC